CTTTCTGTACTATGCCAAGGTCACTAGTTGTAACTTATAGCAAAGCGTCAGTAAAAAGGGCCAGTTTTTAAGCAAATGATCTTGTTCTTTCAGCTTAATTTGCCTCATTTCAAAGACAGAGTATTTTTTGCCCAAAAGAGTGAAAACAGACGTGGTGTCAAGTGTGTAGGGACACTAGCCTCTCACACATTGTTGATGGGAACAGACATAGGTGTAACCTTCTGGAAGCAAAATTTGGCAATGTTAAAACAGCTGTAACATGTGTATACCCTTTATGCAGCAATTCCACTGAGATGGTGTATACATGCAAAAAAAGGACATGAGGATGTTACTATCGGTGCTACTTAAAATATCAAAAAATTAGAGGTAACCGAAATGAAAGTAGTTACAAATATGAAGGTAAATTCATGTAATGGAGTACTCTGCAACTATTATAAAGAGAGAAAAACCTATAAAGGGGCTGGCCATGATTTGTTGATCTTATTTGTGTGAGTGTGTATGTACAGAGCTCCTGTAAGAATTAAATTATTACTTATAAAGCCCTTAGAATAGTACTCAGCAAACACTAGGAAAAATTTATCAAAATGTGATAGTATATGCATAAAGAAAGTACAGAGGAATATAAACTAAGTGATAAACAGTGGCTCATTCTGAGAGGCGGGGATTATGTACAGTTCCTTTCTTTCAATACATTTGTGTTGTTTGACAGTTTTTTACAGGATGATTTATATCATGAAAATATAATAAAGATACGCTTTCTCCAAAATGAAGAAGACCCTGTCACTCAGGAGAGAACATCTTCCATTTGCACAGAATTTAGTTAAGTAATACTAAACATTTCAAATTCACATGATGGACCAAACACTTTAGAAATGTAGATTTCTGGCAGCGCTAACCCATTCAGAGGATGTAAGTGAGGGGATGGAAGGAAAAGATAACGTCACGAATGTTGAACACGACAGCTATTTCCTCTCCCTGAAAATCTGGGATTCTGCTCTGGAGCCCGAGGGCCACTCGGAGCCAAAAGAGGAAGTGAGGAGCATTCATGCTTCCAAGCCATCCCTCGACAGATGTTTTGCGGGGGATCCTGCTCATCACATCCTGCAGGCCAGGTAAGGCTGTGCCTGACGGCCGCCTGCAGGAACAAGAGGATGAAGCCGAAGACAAATCTAACCACGCCAGGGACGACTACACAACAACTAGCAGGTTTTCCTAAAGGCTAAGTATCTGTAGACTTTCCTCCAAACCTCACAGGCAAAATCTGAGATGTGAGTCTTCAGGAAAACGAATAGGTTATGTTACTGTACAGGGACATTCCTGGGTTTTATACATCAACCATGTACTTGGGCACCTCATGGAATGAGCTAATAAAGTGAGTGTGCCCCTAGGCTTTTTCTCACCGTGAAGTATTTTATATATCTATTACCTTTCTTCTGTTTTCACATCTCAGTTGACTGTTCCGTGTGATCAGAACTAAATTTTAAATTTGGTCAAGGCAGGAGGGCATTTGCCTCTTTGGGCGTGATTTTGAGAGGAATCTTTCAGTATTTGCTCACAAAGAATTAAGTGCTCCCGGGCTTTGGAAAAGTTGCCTGTTATAAAATTCCCTTTTACTCCTCTTTATCCTTTTGAAAAAATCAGGACTCAGTGTTGAAATATTTTTGTCATTTTTTGACAGAATACTCAATTTCTCATTCCCCTACTGGTGTGATTAGATTAATTCCTAGAAGGAGAATTCTGGCCCATCGGGTCACATACACAACCGTATGAATTGGTTTACCTGAGAGTGAAGTGGCAGCACACGATGCTATCAGGGCTTGGCTGACTCACAAGAAAGCTTCTAGAAGGACAGGTCATGAGATCACATGATGGACTTTAACTCATCTGAAAGCAGTGCATACCTCCACTACAGCACGAACCACGCTGAGCTACAATTTATCTGCTCCCTAGTACGCATCTCTCCAAGACGTCTCAAGATGAGGGATGCTTTCTTTTTTTAAAGATTGTATTTATTTTTTTGACAGAGAGAGACATAGCGAGAGCAGGAACACAAGCAGGGGGAGTGGGAGAGGGGAAGCAGGCTTCCCGTGGAGCCGGGAGCCCGATGCGGGGCTCGATCCCAGGACTCCGGGATCATGACCTGAGCCGAAGGCAGACGCTTAATGACTGAACCACCCGGGCGCCCGAGGGATGCTTTCTTATGCATCCAAGAACCTGTTGTGCCTCCCACGTGGCCAGGTGCTAGAGCTACTTCTCTCCCCACATACCGTATGTTGCTTGAATCTGGCTACCTCATAAGCAGCAATCAAGATCAGATTCAGCGGAGGACAGAGGGACGGTGAGCAAGGAGGAGTAAATATAAAAGCCCCTGAAGGTAAAACTGAACTGTCCCTTTACCTCCAGATGGTGGTAAAGCGTTACTATAAAAAATACCTGGGTCTGCCCCATGCCTGCTTTGCCTAAGCTCTCCAGGATTGAGAGGGGGAAATGAATCTACTTCGGTGCACCTGGAAACCCGGTCAGTTATTTTTATCCTTTCAAAAGCGAATCCTCAGCAGATTTTCTGAGAGTCACAGCTCACAAAATATTCTCACACTACCTCAATCGATCCTCACTGTAGACTTCCCAGGGCACAGGACAGAGCCAGAGTTCAAATCCAGGAGTTGAACCTCGATATGAATTCCAGGGCTCAATTACCTGGGGGGGGGTGTAAGTGAGTAAATCTCAGCTCCATTTACCTATAAAACTGGGTTAATAATATTTACCACACAGAATGTTTGTGAAGATCAAGTAACATAGTGACAATCAAAGTCCCTGGCAAATAACACCTGCTCAATAAATAAGTGTGACTTCTCTTTCTTCCGACCCCACAGTCCTTCCCTGGGGCAATGCCTCCATTAGAATTCGCAGCGCTGTCCTCTGACAGGTGTGTGGCTCCCTGGCTGCTCGGTATGCACATGACAGCCTGGGCCCAGGACAGGGACAGACTGGTGGTCGTCCCAGCACCTGGTGGGCTGCCTGAGTGGCCCTGTATCTGTGCTAGGCTCTGGGACAATGTTCCAGCTGCCAACCCTTCATCCTCCCCTATCAGTTCTATCCATGAGGAGCTTTTCTTTCTTTTCTCAGTCTTTTGGATATTGGTCTCACATCCATCCTTCAGACTTTTTTGTGACAACTTCTCCCCAGATGACCATGGGACAAGGACGGAATGGCCCAGGAGAGGGCTCTGCACAGGTTGCCCCCCACATCCTCTTAGCTCCGCCGTCTTGCTCAACCTGCACGTCTCCAGCCTTCAATGGGCAAGGCTTTGAGCATTTCTTTTCTGCTTGCAGGAAAAGCATAGTATTAATCATGGTTCTGGACCCAAGGTGCCTGGGTTCAGGTCCAACTCTACCTCTCACCATCTCTGGTGTGGCCTCAGCAAGTATTTAACCTCTCTTTGCCTGAGTCTCATCCTTTGTAAGATGAGGATAACAACATAGCTTGTTGGGGGATTCAGTGAGGCACACAGTAGGTACTCAATAAAATGTAGCTCTTACTTATTTATATAAAACACCTTTCTATATATATTGTGCGTGTGTGTGTGTGTGTGTGTGTGTGTGTGTGTGAATATATTGTGAAATTAGTTCCAGAAGAATATACATAGGATGGTTTACATTAGTATCCTTCAGGGAGCATGTAAAGGAGAACTTTTATTTGATATGTACTTGTACCATTTTACAAGCATATATTATTTTTGCAATTTAGACACACTTTTAAAAAGAACACACTTTTGAAAAGAACACATTTTTGAAAACATGCTTGGGTATGGTTGAAGAAAAGAAAAGGAGGGGAGGGGAAGAGGGGGGAAAGAAAGAAGAAGAAAAATGATTTTCTTAAGGCAGAAGCCAAGGGCTGATCACAAAGAATCTTGACTGGTTGAGACATCCTACTGCTAGTTGCAGAGTTCCCAACACCCTGTAGGCAAAACCTTCTGCCATATATATGTCAACCATACAAAAATTTCCTTCATATTTTCTCAAGTATTGTAGGTGGGGGTAGGGCAGAAACCCAGCTCCAAGTCATCCTGGGCTAAAGGGGTAGGTCAGGGAGGCTCTGACCTCATTCACAGTGGGAGGGCTGTCCAGGCTCCTGGAGCACTTCAGGGAGTGCAAGGCAGCTCTCTTGGGTCTTGGGAGAGTAAGAGGCACATCTAGGACAAATCCTACCAGGTAGAAAATGCTTTCAAGAGATCTGAGCATGTCCCCCCACCAAGAAGTCTAGACCCCTTTGCCTGGGAGGAATGCAGGAGGACTCTGCCTCCTACTGTAGAATCTTCTAAGCTGACTCCGTTTTCTCCAATGTCCCACAGGACACAGACTGAAGCGAGCAAAGGTTTGTTTCACTACCTTCTATGCAATAGCCCCCCACAGTGCTACTCATCTTTTCCCCCCATCCTAAAATCTCAGGGCTATGTATAGCAAACAGTCATATCCTCTTTTGGTAAAAGTTACATCATCAGAACACCAAGAATAATGTTGTATATTCCTTATATGTAGCCAAGATATTCATCTGGCCGACCCACATGTCTTTTTCAAAGGGTGAAAACCCCCTTCTTTTTAACTCCCCGCGTATTACTTTTGATGGGTAAAAATCTTACCAGTTCACACAATGCACCCTCCAAGAAGCTTGCATTTCTGGAAAACCATCTACCATACAGAGCACATTCTATGAAAGTTTATTTTCAAATTGTAAATGCTAGATCGCTTCTCTCTGTAATCAGGTAGTCTTCTGGGCCCCCACTGAAACAAATACAGGTATTCCTGCTAGCAACTATGAACATATTTCCCCCACTTTATTAATGCCTCTGCTAACAAAGTTCCTGCCAGCCAAGTATATCCTGTGGCCCATGCCCACCATCCTATTTGCACCCCGCTCCCAACTCTGACCGAACTCACCCAAAGCAACTGGATCTGCTGTAAAGGAAGATGCCAAAAAGGACCATCAAGAAGTTGACTTACCTTTCTCGTGGCTGCTTGGTGGTGGTGGTGGTGGAAGTGGGGAAGTGACTGGTTTGGACTTGTCATAGTTGTTAAAGCTCTGGCTGCGTCGGTTGTTAGCAGTTGCTGACCCTCCACGTGTTTTGGCTTCGCTGCCTGCAGCAGATATCCTTGCGGTAGGACCCGGAAGCCTAAAATGCAAAAGCAACAGAATAATGATTCAGTCTCAGGAGAACAGCCGTGTCTCAGAAGAAGGAACTGCAACCATGCAGGAGGTAAAGGAAACCATTCAAGACATTGGGTCTGTGGAGGTTTGCCAATCAAAAGATTTAGTGGAACCACTACAAACATCTAGGCTACTAATGACCCCAGCAAAGTCCAACAGCAAAACTTGAGTTTTCCTTTGAGCAAAGAGAAATTCTGAAGTAAAACTAAATAAATATGTTTGCTGATTAAAAATATAAAGTCCATCTTCCTTTTTTTCTTGGATGAGTAATTTTACTTTTTTTTTTTTCTTTTTTTAAAAGATTTTATTTATTTGACAGAGAGAGACACAGCAAGAGAGGGAACACAAGCAGGGGGAGTGGGAGAGGGAGAAGCAGGCTTCCCGCTGTGCAGGGAGCCCGATGTGGGGCTCGATCCCAGGACCCTGGGACCATGACCTGAGCCGAAGGCAGACACTTAACGACTGAGCCACCCAGGGGCCCCTAATTTTACTTTTCAATAGGGCCAAACCATGTCAACTCTAATTCTATAAAGTGTGGAACATAAAGGCCAATTAAGACTCTAAGCTTTTTGGGGGGCCTGGGTGGCTCAGTCATTACGTGTCTGTCTTCAGCTCAGGTCATGATCCCAGGGTCCTGGGATCAAGCCCCGCATCAGGCTCCCTCCTCGGCGGGTGTCTCCTTCTCCCTCTCCCACTCCCCCTGCTTGTGTTCCTGCTCTTGCTATCTCTCTCTCTGTCAAATAAATAAATATTAAAAAAAAAAAAGACTCTAAGCTTTTTTACCTTACTATGTGTGCATCTCTTCTGGTAGGTATTAATATGGTGTTTGTCATAATCTGGGGTTGTTGTGTCAAGAAAATGATGTAATTTACAATGGTCAGAAAGAGACCTGCTAGCACTCAGAACCCAATACAACTACAATGAAAAAAACTTATGGCCTGGATGAAAACATGTGTTGAAACATACATTTTCCTTCAACACCTGACAACTTGTCTCCATAGGCATTACTTAGAGGCTGAAGCTCAGCTTCTCTGCACAGTAAATGGATAAAATCATACGTTCTTTCTGTAGAACCAGCAGGAAACTATTAACCTAAAGACAAACATACACTTTCTCTTTAAGTAAAGTAACTCAGTTGGGGTGGTTTGGGAAATAAAGTTAGCAGACATCTTTGTAATATGTCTAAAGATATTATGGCCTCCTCCCCCAAGAGTTAAGGGTAAGACTCCCCAGATCAGAACTTTGGTTGAGAGACTACTAAGCAGGCTGTTTCTAATCATTAAAAGTTTAAAGATGAATAAATAATGAGATAGTTATATATTTCAGCTAAAACCCACTTAACTGTTTAAAAACCACTGGAACATCCTCTGACTAGCATTAGATCTAGTGATAAGTCTGAACTTTCAACTCATAAAGCTTTAAACTTTCTCTCCCCATGCAAATCTGTGAGCACCAAAGAGGTCTGCAGTCTGGAAGCATTTTACATATAAGCAGGTGATCACTTTAAACTTTTTCTTGCTGGCTGAGCAAGAAAGATGGTTTGTAAACAGAGAACATGAGCTGGTGTGAGAGCACTGTAAAATTTATACAGTTAAGAAGAAGGTGGCCCAATTCCCTGACTGGGAACTAGGAGAGAAGGAAGGGGGTGAGTTCTCCCCGCCAAGTGGCAGAGGCAAGTGCACTTTCCACTGCACTAGGAGGATTCGCCCCTCTGTTAATTTACCCCATCTTGTTTGGAGAAAATATTCACCCCATAAAGACAGACACAGAGTGGGCTACAAACCAGCAGTGCCAGGGTGTATATTTAGGTACCAGATGTGGCCAGCACAACTGAATAAGGAGGTCTAGCAATGGGATCTTGGTACCTCTTGGTTCTGCTTTGAATACAGACAGCATCCAGCAAGCCCTCCAAGTCATTTTTAGCGGAGTACTCCCAGCTAATGGTAGAGCTTCTGCAGGGGCAGACATGGAGTCCTTTGGGCTGGACTCCTTTAACCCAGCCTTAGTCTACAGGAGTCTTCATGCCCACAGACAGGCGTGGAAAAGGATTATAGACTTGTTCCCAGATGATATCACAGCAACTGTATGAAGTGGCACAGGGTAAAAGGTCGTAGCATTCTACTTCAGTAGGGAATTTGCAAGGAGTAGGGAAGCAAAAAGCAACAAGAAGGGAAAAGATACATTCCTTTCAGAGCTGCTGAAGAGCTCCCACTGCCCTGACCCAGGGCTGGACCACAGACTTTTCAGGGCAGTCGGGGGCTTTATAGAAAGAAGATTGATCAAAGCGTCGGATGGGATGAGTACAACCTTGAATTGCATAGGCTGATTAAAAATATAAAGTTCATCTTCCTTTTTCTCTTGGATGAGTAGTGTGGGATAATGGATAAAATATGGGCTTTTTCCATACACATGACACTGGACCAGTATTATAATCTCTCTAAGATTCATGTTCCATATCAGATAACTTTGGAATAATAATCAACTACCCAATAGGATAGTTGCTCATTTGGAACGGGGCTTAATGTCTGGCCTATTCTAAGTACTCAATGCATGTGAGTTCCCCTTCCCATCCTCTCTGCTGAGCATAAATTCATAAATGACTTCGGCATTGTAATAAAGGAAACAGGCTTTGGTACCAAAAAGAATCAAACAAATAATGAAGGAAATTGAGGATCTAGATGTAAGTATCAGAAGACAGCAGACAAAAATCAACATATAAAAGTCTGAGGTCTAGGGCGCCTGGGTGGCTCAGATGGTTAAGCGTCTGCCTTCGGCTCAGGTCATGATCCCAGGGTCCTGGGATCGAGTCCCACATCGGGCTCCCGGCTCAGCGGGGAGCCTGCTTCTCCCTCTGACCCTCTCCCCTCTCATGCTGTTTCTCTCTCGCTCGCTCTCTAAAAAATAAATAAAATCTTTAAAAAAAAAGTCTGAGGTCTACATTTTCAAAGAGGCAAGCCAGGCTTTGGCAGACGGTGCTCATTCCCCTAAGAAACATTCCAGAAGAGAAACTGCTTCATCCAAGTACCTGTGACTGAGACCTTATACTTAGGGTACCTCTGAGCCATCCGTAGGCCCCAATCCCCAGAGTGAAACATTCTGGTCTTGGATCAACTAAGACAGTTCTGGTTTCCCCATGGGTGGTCATCATCAGATTCTCTACACTGAGTCAGGACCTAGAGGTGCACCTTTGATGGGAGCGGCATAGCCTTCAAGTGGCTGCAGGGTTGTGCCAAGTTTCCTAGGACATGGAGAAGGAGTTCTTGAAGGCCCTGAAGGCAGCTGACATGAAAAAGAACGTGAGCTGGGGGCTTAGGGTCTGTGTTACTGTGAACTAGGGGATACTCTGCTTTTCCACTCTAACTCTGCTCCCAGCCTCCCTAATGAATGCCTCATTGCTGGAGGGCAGGACAACGTCCAGATTCATACTGTGGCATACAAGGCCCTCTCTACTCTGGCCCTGCCTGCCTCTTTAGCCTTGTTTCCTCCCAGCCTGGACTTTCTTTTTTAAACTTTCTCCATGTATCCATGTATTTCTGCATGTATCCCCTAGTTCACATGCAAATCTGTGAGCACCAAAGAGGTCTGCAGTCTGGAAGCATTTTAGGCATCAAAAGCCACCCCAAAGTTCAAGCCAATTCATGTCACCTTCTACTCCCATCACTGTTAAACCCTAGTTAGGACAGCTCCTTGAACTTGACCAAATGGAAAGACTGGGTGGAGACCAAGTAATTTCTTCCAAGTTTCAGAGGGTGTCTAGGACAACACAATGCTTTAAAACTTGGGTTTTGGGGCGCCTGGGTGGCTCAGTTGGTTAAGCATCTGCCTTCGGCTCAGGTCATGATCCCAGGGTCCTGGGA